CCACAAATTATGATTATAAGAATATTATGCAATCTTTTAACTATATCACAGTTAAATTTTCAAAAATAACTTCATAACTTCGAAACTTCATAAAGGTTCTTTTGGAAGCATTAAAATTATTGCAATTACCAATCACAGCTATAAGCATGTCAACAGATGAATTTTTTTCTGAAATGTTACTTAACAGCTTTCTTTCTTAAGTTTGCAGAAACTTCTTATTATTTTGCCTAATACTTTTTAATTTCCATTTTATAACTCTAATAAAAAATAAACTCTACTTTACCTGCAAGTTCAAAAGTAAAACTCCAAGCAGAAAAGGTCATTTAATACCTGGTTTTGATTTACTAGTAAATAATCGATAAGTACCTTAACCGCTTTGATTATTGTAATTATGGATAAGTGCGTTAATCGCTTTGATTTTTTTAATAAATAGAGGTTAAGTGCGTTAATCGTTTTCGTATCAAAAATTTAACGATCAACTTTATAGCTGACTATAATATTCACAATTCTTCTCCATATTCATTTTACTCATTTTATTCATTTTTTTTTTTTTTTTTTTTTTTTTTAATTTTAATTCACCTCCTCAAGGCCGAGAAGGCCACTACAGACGAGGAGGGTACTTATTTGTGGCTATAACCCTCTCTCAACTCTATAACTCCGAAACACGAACCTTGACGAACAAAGCCGCTGTGCGGAGAAACGAGTTGAGCGCGGTACTACAAGGGACGTGGTGGGGATCGAACTCGGAACCACTCGTTTATGAAGCGAGCGCTCTACCACTACACCACTACCGCATTAATTTACAAAAAGTTTCCAATATAATTCTTTAATTATTTTGATATGCTTAGTATTGTACTTTTTTTTTTATAAATTAAAGATGGAGAGATCTACAAATAAGACAGCTTAAAGGGTTTTCACTGTTTTCAAATTTAGACAACATGATAGCATTTAAATTTTTTTCTCTAAAATATTGTGCAAGGTGGGATAAACATGTTTACATTACATACAATCATAATACATTATAACAATCACCATGGTGATTGTTATAATCACCATGGTGATTGTTATAATGTATTATGATTGTAACCCGTTTTATGAACATTTAACAATTCTAAAACGGACTTCAAAAATATATATGAATATTTTCTTCAAAAATACATATGAATTGACACTTAGTGAAGGCCAGTTCTAAACTTTATTTCGATCAAAACCTTTTTTATAAAAGTTGTTTCGACGATTGATAGACGTGTTTCAAGGGTCTTCATATTAAAAAAAAAAATCTTAACTCACTGAAAAAAAATACATATTTCTATGAAATTCAGTAACATAATTTTTTAATTGATATTTAGGTTACTTAGTTTATTGTTGGAGTGTTTTAAATTTTAAATTAAGTTGGAATATTTTAAGAGTAAGTTAAGCTTATTTATGGAGTATTTTAAGTTTCTTACTTTTGTTAACTTATTTTTATTTTTTAACCTTGTAATTATCTTTTAAATTTTAACACGAACATTTCTTAGCGGTACTCGACGACAAGACCGTATGGTCTTCTACGAGTCCCCGCGTTCTTTTATTTTCTAATAACGACCATTATATTTATATATAAATTTATTATTATATATATATTTTTTTATTTTAGGTGCTCACAGAAGTCCTTACGATCTTATCACAGAGCGCCGCGGGAGAGCATTTAACAGGAAGTTCACGCCTCTTTCCTTACCAATGTCGCTTGTTGGGCTAGAGCTGGCGTCGAACCTCGCATATCTGGGTTCTGAGCCAGAACTCTGACCACTGCACCACGGCTGCTCATTTTATTTGTATTTGAAATATTGTAACGAAATGCTTATTTTACATGTAATAAAAGAACGAAAAAAAAAAAAAAAAAAAAAAAGTTTATGGTAAAACGTATTGGATCTTATCCACAAAATAAAATATTCGTTTAAAAAAAAATGAGTAAACCTTCTCTTTTTTTTAACAAAGTGTAAAAAACGTTTGCAAATTTCATGATTGTGATCTCTAGTTAATACATACCCAGATAGCAGACAGACGTTAGCCCAACGTCCGATCAACGCCAAAAAAATCGTTGGCCGATGGTCGGCAACTGACGTCGCTACAACGTGAATTTGGAAGTCGGTGCAATGTCGCAGCCAACCGTTGGGCTAACATTGGCCCAACGTCAACCTCCGACGTTGGGCGAGTGTCGCATTCTAACGTTGGTCCCACGTAATATTATTATATAAAAGAATCTTTAAAACTTTTGTTCAAAAGGTAAGCACGTGCTTATTATTTCTTAAGTAATGTTCCATTAAAACTATTACATTAATTTTTTTTCCTCCAAATAAGTTTTAATAAACTTTTTTTAAGCAATTTTTGTAATCACACAGAAAATGAAAATTTGTTGTAATAATCATTATAATGACGTTTCGTATAAATTATTCAAATATTCAAAAATAAAAGTGTTTTTTTTCGACTGCTTAGCTTCCATACAAATCTTGATTCTTTGATTTGCTGGAAAAGAACTTCAAACGTTCAAACGCTAATTATTATACGATTTGATAGAAATCTCACAACTTGCATCTTTCGTTTGATGAGCTTTTAGGCAATGCCATAACTACAATTAAAATTATAAGTATATATATATATATATATATATATATATATATATATATATATATATATATATATATATATATATATATATATATATATATA